TACCTATTTTATTCTTCTCTGTCTAGTTTGACTTTCCCTATCAATGATCAACACATATGATCTCTAAATACATATCCTTTCAGATAGCTCAGTAAACTTTGTTAACCAAACGTTATTTTATGTTCATTTGTTATTAGTGTCAAAAAAGTATCAAACTTCCCGTTCAACGTGTTTTAAAGCTCCATATAAACTTACTTCTCTTCTTCCAATTCAATAGATCTTATAAAAGTTCATTATTTGTTTTTGTCATTCTGCATTATGATAGTTATTTCATTGCCATCCAAATTCAATTACTTGTTTAATTAAATTACTTTACTTAAAAAATGGAAACTCTTCAGCATTTGGAAGTTATTTCAACATCATGTGTTTTTCAGCTGACAAAGCTATTATATAATCATAATTTTATGTAGGCTCTTACCCCATAATTAAATAAAATTGGTTTCCAAGTAGATAAAAATTGATCCCTTTATTAAAGTTACTGGTGACAATACAGTTCAGGTGGTTCAAGTCTAAAAAGTTACATTTTATTCTACCAATCTGTAGATTGTTACCAAGACTTCTGGAAAGCGCTGATGATGAGCAGCGATTTCTGCAAATAAAAAGTCAAAATGATATAACTGACGATAAACGGTTTTAGAATTCTAATTGTTTAAAACATCGTATTTTTCACATTTTTATGAAAGTATAAAAGCTCCTACTAACCACTTTACACTTGTATTAGTGTGATTTATAGGCTAATTAAAATTCAGTTCCACGTACCAATTGTTCGAGATTACATTCGGAGCTTAAGTTCAAATATGCAAGACACTCGGAACTAATAATACCAAACTATATTTTTAAGTTTATAGATTAATTTCACGGACTTTCTGCATCTAGGACAATCAGTTAATAAAAAAGTCAGGTTTTACGTGACTAGATGACTTACAAATATTTGAATCCATCTACTGGTGAAATCAAATCACGGCGGTGGAAAAACGCTTAAATCATAAAGATTCGAAATTTAAGACTGTCGTGAGCAACTTTGAATAAGTTTAAACATTCCTATTGCCTACATTTAAAATATTTCTACTAATCAGCCGAAAACATTTTAGTTCATCATTTCTAAAAGCTTAAGGTGAAAGCAGTCACAATGCAAAAATTCAGCTGAAAACAAAGACTTTAAGAAATTTTTTCCTACTTTACTTGGTCAGTCATCGATTATTCTTCCAGTTCACCCAACTACAAAAAATGCTTTTTCTATCAATGAGGTTAAGATAAAAACGTCTTTCCAGTATCACGATAAACACCAAAGTAAAGACAAAATATCTGAAATATTCACAATAATCAGAATCTCAAACGATTCTCATATTGAGGCTGAGAAAAATCATCACTCCAGTATCATCTTAACGAAATGAAAACTTATTTTTGTTGGCTTTCAAAAAGGTAAAGACCGCATGTCATTTATATGCAGTTTACGTCTGTAAATTAACGCTTTATTTATTCTGTTGTTCTGTTTCGATGGCGCGAGTTTGTTAGGAGGAACATGTGTATAAAAGTCAGTTATTGTATAATTTGTCATTTAGGAAATTATACATTGTCCTTCAAATTGAAACTTAAATGCTTTCATTTCTATGGAAATATTCAAATTAATGTCCAATGTCCTATTTTTGAAAATAAAGTTTCATGTGGAGTTGTCACTGTCATTATAAACAATAATTAAAACGTTTTAATTAGCTGAGTAGCTACAAGTTGGTGATCACCTGAATGATCTATACTGAAATCTGTTAGTTATGAAATTCATTAGGTTTATTTATAATTTAGAATGAATGAATCAGCGATTAGACTGTTTGCTGATTGTTTATTATTTAACTCTGTTCTATTGTATTCTTGAGAAACAACTGAAAATTTTAGCGATTAAGATCCTATCCCCGTCGCCAATTGTTATATCTTGTGGCCGCCAATTAGAGAGCAATGAATTATCAACCGAATCAATGACACACAAAACCCGTATTAGCAGTCTACAGTACTTATCGGTCCTGCTTTCTACTAGCCCAGACAGTTACGTTCAGAACACCAAGAACAGCCTCTGCAATATGAATCATTTATTTAAAGTACAAACAGATCACATCATACCATAAAATAAAAAACAGCATTTTTACAGGACTTAGCCGAATGTAGCTGTGAATGATGGAGATAGTAATTAATAGATAGGGTATAATTCAAGAATGGTAAATCGTATAACAATAGTTCATAGGTCAAAGTAAAGCTTAAAATAAGAGGTACATGCATATGAAAAGTTTAGTTATTTAACAATCATGCGATAAAAATATGCGCGTAGTATTGGTTCATAAACAGATCCCAAAGTTACCATTCACTATTCTTATCGGGGCATAACTAATTTTAGTTATATAATCATTTGTTCTACGAATTTATTTATGAATAACAATTGAATAGCATAAAAATATGGAACAAGCTTTCCACTTCAAGTTGATTTTTATTCATGTTTAACATCATTTTACATGTTCGACGCCTCTCCACTACTGAACATCCTGACTGTCAAGTAACTATTTATTTCTCAACAGGATTAAAGCTAATGTAACAGATGTAATATGGTCAAAATACGTTCTCTTTTGTTTTCGAATTTCAAATCATTAACCTCAAATTTAATAAATTTTATGCGTGACACAATGTGAATGTAAAGAATTCCATGTATTAGCTTAATTATTCAGATAGTCAGTTATTGATTATTATGTCAGAGAATTTAATTCATTATAGTTGTTATAACCTTATGAGGTTATTGGTGATATTAACACTAATGGACTGACATCATTTGAATAGACTTTAAAAACGAACGACAACTAAACACATCACTTGTCCCAGAATTGGATTCGTTGATTGTGAGTATTCACCGCCAAAGATGAGGTTGACGATTTTAACTTTATTGTAGCAATCCTGTAGTCCACAAATCCGAATTTCGTCAAATTGCAGTGGAAAGCAAATGATATAATAATAGTAATCTATACTTACATCATAAACTTTATTTATGTGAATGTAATTAGAAATCATTTCATGTAACACAGATGGCCTGATACTATAGTTAGTAAATGTCAAATTAGGAGCAAGATTTTCATTTTTTCCGGTTTAAATAGTAAATAAATTTCTATGTAGTTATCGGAAAATAAAAATGAAATTTATGTGGGAATTACTATACCCTTATATATAAAAAACCCAAACCAACTGGGTCGTGTTATAGTGCCTCATTAGGCATGTGATTAACTATTTATAAATGTCAGTAGATGCGAAAGATATTATAAAACAAGTAAAAATACTAAACAGCATCAGGGGTAATGTGACTATAGCTAATATTCGGAAAGAATATATTTTAACTTACAGATGTCCCAAATCCATCATGACTAAAAATTACTAGGATGAAATTCTTGTACATGAATGAAAGAATTCATACTCAGCAGATGTGTACTAATCACTTGACTTTGAAACCTGAAGATATGTACCGCAGACAGGTGAAGAGGTAATTAATTAAGTACTTTAAACGGCATACGCCCCCATGAAACGAGTTTTGATTAGCACTTAATAAAGGGATATAGGAATCATCAAGGTAGAATTTATCTGCACCAACTGATTTAACAACGAACATACTGACCGCAGATTTTTCAAATTGATGATATGCTGATCTAAGTGTTAATTGTTGTGTGTGCTTGTAAGCAATAAAGAACGGACGTCCAAATTAATTAAATTTGAGCCTGATATCTATTAAAGCGTTGTTCTTTGTCTACCTGTCATGATGTATTTATTTACGGTATAAAATGTGTCTTACTAAGATAAATTATTCTGATTATTATAAGACTAAATTGCAATTTACTTGCTTCATCTTTCCTATAACTGTAGAATCAACACATTTATTTATACTATTGATGACTGTTAACATTTATATAGACAACGGACAAATTAAATTGATTTACTAACAGTCATATTTTTTATTTTAACACAAGTAATGATCAACTTGAATTTTCTTAAGAATTAGTGACAATAATTTGATGGGATTTGCTAAATATATTTGAAATGAAGTAAAACGTTACTTGTTTGAATCAATAGCACATTTATCGAAGCTGCAAATAACGTGAATTATTATCTTTTACTGAGCACTGCTGGGACGTTTAGTAACTGATGCTGATTCTTTTAAGATAGAAGAAAATGAAATGATAACTAATTATAACGAATATATATTTTGTTATTTCCCAATGAGTAGAAAACTGAATTTCTGAAGTTTCGTGAAATTTTCTACTCATTGAGATGTACGAAAAATATTTATTACTAACTTATACCCGATTCTCAATTTGTTTTAAACTATCAAGTCCAGCCTTGACATTCATAAAAAATTATGTTAACAACCTTTTTTTAGGTCAGCTTTTCAGTATGTTTTTAATAACAGGAAGCAAAGGATACACAACTGAAAAGATTTGTTTTGATGAAACTTGTTTTAGTGTGGGTCTAAACATTTCTTAAAGGTATGCAAGTAAATATTCATTCGAGAAAGACTGAAATTAGTGTTTTCTTAGTGGTCAGTTGAACAAGATCGACTATTTGAAAACACTCATCACAGAAAAAGATAATCTGTAAAAAATTAGTCCGATGCACTTGGTTGAGCAGTGGATATGAACGACTGATGAGTCGTATATTAAGGCGAAACAGTCATCTGACTCTTCCTGACTACCATTAGCTATCTGACTGAAGTCAATACGTACATACAACCTTCATTGGTTGTTACTGCTGTAACAACGAAATTAGATAATAGTGACAAGAAATTTTTGTTTTCGTATTGACTTATCACTTATTAAAACTTTTAGTTCTCGAACGATATTTCAGAGGGTTTAATTCCTACACAAAATTGATCATTTATAAGTAGATCATTTGTGCTTGTTTTGTTCAGAATTAGTTGAAAATATCTAACATGATCTAAAACATCTTATACTCATAAATATATTCCTGCTTCATTCATCTAGGTATATCACCTGAAGATATCGAAGAAGCTCGTTCCGCACTAGAAATGAAAATGCTCTCAGATCTAAAGACAGCACGTTTAAAAAGATACAATTTAAATATACTAGACACACAAGGTGCTGCTCCAGTAAGTGTTTCCTACTAAGAACCAGAATTTTTATTACTTATACACTTGTTGATCATGTCTGTCTGAACGATATCTTTTCATTTACTTTTACAGTGAACTATATGAGTAATTAAGGACAACAACTTGTCTAATGTAAAGTCCATAAGCAACACTGCATAGTCGAGAATCGATGTACGATACCTTTATCTCTTACTAAAGTAATGCATCTCCAACATACGTAAATTAATTTGATTATTTTACATGGCCTTTCTGAATTTATTTATATGATGGTGATTGAATCAAGAAAGCTTTTGTCTACACGGCATAATGTTTCTTTGAGTATTTGGTGTTTGTGAATGATCTCCAATATTTTAGTAAAGCCTTAAAGTTTAGAGTAAAACATAAAACGTTTCCTACCTAATCAGAACATTTGCACCTTATGGAAGTAATGCAATCATGACGTTTAAAATAGCTGCGAATATTTACTTTTAGATGTTTCGATTTGAATGATACAATAATTGTCAAAATATCGCTTACTAACTATTGTTTATGTCATTCGTATTCTGTGTTCTTTTTGCCATATAGCAAAATAATAGTTTTTAGTTACAAACTTTGTAACCATTAAAAAACAATCAACCTTAATATTTATTTTATTTAAACAAGAGATACAAAAATGATCTCTATAGTTGAAGTTTAATCGATTAATTTACCTGAACAAAGGAGAAGCGACATTACAATTAGCATTGATTAATACATGACATACAGGCTGGAGCTTGCTCTTCTGTTTATTAGTTTTATTTTATTTGCTTAGTTTCATAGAGCTAACACCAATTGATGCTAAATTCAGATAGTATAGATTTCCGGTTAGCACATTGTATAGAACATAACCAGTTCATATTTGCTTGATCACAAAGAAAATGGATAGAGATTCAAAGATACAAGCTATTTGCTTTATTCTACCAGCAATCGAATTCTTCATTACACAAATCTATATAAAATATTTCACTTAGTGTGGGATATTTACGTACGTAAAGCTGAACAAATTTCGTTTATTTGCTGATTATTATCTATCTTAAACGAAGTGCAAATAAATCCAATTTATTTAAGCCTAATAGGAATAGACAAATTTAAACTGTAACTTGAATGATCCATTTAAACCTATTAATAATAGTATCATGTATTCAAAAATTATCTAATATACGAAGTCACATTAACTGTAATCAAAGTCAACAACTTCATCTTATTTTGCTTAACACGTTTATCTATAAAATGTATCGAATGACTACAAGCAATTCAAAAATTTTAATTTTAATCAAGACGAAAATGACATAAAATCATGAAACTGTTTATTTCTGTGAAAAGCTGAACAATGAAAAGTATGATTCAAAAGAATAGAACGAAATCGAAAACTTGGATGTATGGAGTCACAACAAATAAAATGCATAAACATAAAGAATAAATAATTCAGGAAACCTAGTGTCTATAACCATAGGCTATGCCTTTTATCCGACACCCAACCAAGTAGTTCATGTGTGCTGCTCATGCCGAATTTCTATGACACACCTTGTTTTGGTTGCACTTAGGTTTTCTTTCTACCTGTTTCATTCCGGCACCAAATCCTATCTTTCAGTAATAAGCCAAGAAGACTTGAAGAAATTCTGTAATCCATTTAGATGAAATCAACATTTGCGTCTAACTACGTTTACCGTATGAAAATAAGTTACGGTCGCATATTTATTTGGATGGTTTACTTCCGGTATTAATTCTGTTTATATAAGGTCGGAATTCAAATGAATCAGATTGACCACTTAAGACATGAATTCTGAATTACAAAATATTGGGTTTAAATTCAAGGTTCGCAATATATAACCTAAATTTTTGTGCGCGTTTAATTTAAATTAATATTAGTTCAACAGTATCAGAGAAACCATAAAATATGTACAGTTATTTAAATAATGTGTCGTGAATTTTACCGAAATCAAGATATTAATATAAAATCTACTAGTTCATCCTTCTCCTAAAAAAGTGATGGAAGTTTCATAGTGAAACCAACTGGCTCGAATGACAAAACTCTACCAAAATCTGATAAATACATATCACTAGAATGTTAGATGAAATTTTAGTGTTTATTTAGATAATTCAATTGAATAAATTAGAGTTTCGTTATTGATAGCAGTTCACCGACTGGTTACTAGTTCTAACTCCCAAGAAATAAACTTTATGTAGCTCTTTAAAAGTTTTAGTCTTCTTTTGGATTTTTCCATATGATAGAACTTATGTTCAAAACTTGCTAAGCGGTTATTATTTTTCTTAATTCCACTAAACTAGAGATAGTAAACCGCAAACATTATCTTAGATAAAAGCAATACAATAAATGGTTAAAAGGTTAGACCTTAAATATATAGACCACACTAAAATTTATCATACATATGGATTCTTATAGCTTCATCGATTTGAAAATTTTTTTTAGTTGTTGAAATAATGTAGTAAAATAGGTCTCCGATTGTCTGGTTACTGGAATGTCGATAATCGTTTTGCATCATTATTTATACCCCGTCTCACGAGGTAATTTTATAAAATATTTTTAGTTTCTTTCTGATGATGGGTTGTTAAGAAATCTGCCATAGCTTAAAATTTAATGAATTAGGTGCAATACATCTTTTCAGACAGTCATCTTTCTGCCTAACTAATCTGAAGTACTCGAAAAATGAAAGCAACTAAGTAATTCGAAAGCAGTTTTCAAAACGTTTTTCACGCTTATAAACTTGAAAACAATTTAATGAATGTAGTTTGATTGCCGATATTGGTGTAAACTTGCCTTATGTTAATTTTTCTTCATCTTTAATGCGTAGGTTAACAAACAATAAACTAGTGTTCTCGAAAAAAATAAGCTTTACAATTAGTTATGAATTTTTATCCATTCAAGCAGAAATACGAAACAGTACCAGTAAACAGAATATCTGAACTTATATTTACGCCCACCACCAGCTGTTCGTAGCATCTTTTATAAATAAATATTTGACCTTCACGTTTACTTACCAACTTACTTACTTCTGTAACCCATGGTCGAGCAGAGATCACCGACCAAAGTTCTCTAACCAAATCTGTCCCTGTTTCTTCTTTCCAGGTGTTCCCAAGCACCATTCATTCTTTTGATTTCTACCTGTAATCCTCGACACAATATGTTTTTGGTCTGTCTCTTTTCCTTTTGCCTTGAGGATTCCAAGTTAGACCTTGCTCTGTGATGCAGTTCGATGATTTTCTCAAAGTTTTCAATTCAACTCCGGCATCTTTTCCGAATTTTCTATTCATCTGGAAGCTGGATTACTCGATCCTAACGGTAGACTTGAATATGCAAGTCTCACCTATTCAACGGAAAAGAATTTACATTTTGATCTGTAACTTATCTGACTTAATACATTAATCATGTGTTCCTGATCAAACAAAAATATGCATACTTCCTTTAAAATTATCAAAGCATTTTTTTCAATATCTACAAAACACTGATCAGTGTTAATTTAACAAATGTTCTATATATTTTTAGATTCATGTTGCTGCAGCTTGTGGATATTGTGAGGTCGGTCTCTTTTTACTACAGTCTGGTGTAGATCCTAATAGTTTAGACGCAGATGGATGGACACCTTCTCATGTTGCTGCTTGCTGGGGTGAAGTAAGTTATCTTTTCTGACAAACTTTTTCTGGAAAAGTTCCATTCCAAGTCACCATAGTTTTAGTGTACTTATGCCTCTAAGATAAAGATTTTGAAGTCATTTAGGACAATACTCGCAGTGCAGCTTTATAAAATAATTAACGTAAAAATAACGGCTAAAAGAAAAGTTAAATATAAATACGGTGAAGAAAAACTGCAGCACACCTTGAAATAAAATAACATCTTTGGTATTCTTTTACAACTTACACTGTACAACTCAGTTTTTCTTTCAAGCCACTGAATTTATTTTTTCTGTCACAGTTTATTACCAGTAATATATTGGGAGTTCGTTGTCGAAAGATTATCACCATGTGTCAAATGTCAATTGGCTATATTACATCTCTGTGACAACAAATTGTTGTCTGGATAATTAGGAGACAATTACTGAATTTATAAATTATGCTTAAACTATGTCATAAGCTTGATAATCTAACAGTAGTTAAAATCACTCCATGAAGTATTTTTAAACTTTATCCAGGTCTTGCTAACTACTTATTCTGAGAAACAATGAAGTCACATATTTTGCCAGATAGTTACTTAGCTTAACTGTAATCATAATGATGTATGATAAATAAACTGTTCCAATTCTGCTTCCACCATTTCTTCTGAAACTAGGTTTTTAATAGAAACTAAGAAATAAACATTGAGGGTAGCATATGAGATTTCAGTGTCTAGACTCTCCATCAAATTATGAAATAGATGCCTTCAATTAACTCTGTACAATTTTCCCTCGAAATTCTATGTAATTGTTCCATTGAAATGTAACATCTACACCGATGTCAGTCTTAATTTATTTTGCCATTTATGAGATAAGAACTTTGAGTATAAATACGTTGACACAATGCTTGGGGAATTGATCAGTTTTGTGGAGCATTTTCATACCAAATGAGTCATCATCTACTGAATTGTTTGTTGAAAGAATATTTCAATGAAACAAAACTCAGAAGCAGTTTTAAAAATTTCATAACAAAGAAAAATCTGATGAGTTTTGTGGTTTCTTATTGGGATTAATCACAAAAATCACACAAAAGATATCTATTATAAGTGATTCCCTGTGTCTTAGATCAGCCTTATCTCACTTCTTCATTTACTCACGGTTATTTCAGTTGGCTTAGTTTTGGTGTTCCAACTATAAGTGTTTTATTTACTCCATCAAATACAACTGAATTGCTCAAAATACTAATAACTTTTCCATTATCAGTTCACTGACAAGTACGGATTACCATTTATGTCTACGTACTAAGAAGTAGACTGTGAGGTCATTACTGTTTACTTAAGGAAAACTTACTAAAAATTGAAAAGGCTTCTTATCTGCAGTACTTCATCTGATGACCTGGATTTTCATTTCTGTTATTTTGGATATGATGCTCTACATTTTTAGGCAAATAACAATGCAAATAATTGAGTCAGTTTTATTGCAGAGGGACCAAGACATTATCTTCGGCCACCACTAAAGAAGACTGAATGAAGCTTTTCACACTTTTTTCTGCCAATTAGTAAAACAAATTTGAATGATTCAAATTTCATGATTCAATCTTACTAGATCAAGCGCTCAGAGGCTTTTTACCCTTGAACACAACTGAGGCTTTATGTAATGTAGGAGAGTATTACATTCAGATACAAAATCTTATGTCTGATACTTTCTAAAGTACCGAAACACTATCTTACATATTCGATCAGCTTACCTATATTTTAAATCACGCATAATTTTATTTGTTGCTTGCTTTGTTGAGCTTAGAAAACCCATATTTGGTATTGTGAGAAATTTATGGAGCCAAATTTATACGTTTGGTTGATTTTTAGCTTACTTCTAATCATTTGAAGAAGGCTTAGGGAGCTAAAATCTGAAATGATCTCGGATTTTGTAGAGGTTACCAAAAATCATCTACCCTATCCTCAGGATGATGGCACCAGTTCATTCCAAGGTCCTAGGCAGTTTTCATCTGTTTAGGGACTGGATCATAAAATCATAGGCTATTGAAAAGTGTGGACGTCAGCCATAAATTTAAACCAAGTTTTTGAAACGTGATTTACAAAAAAGAAATATTGTTGATAAAACTGTGAATTCAATAAACTTGATGGATCAGTATTATGAGTATTTTAAATGGTGCCTACGCCTCATGATTAACTGAACCAGAGTCAACTGTAGTGGTGGATTTTTTAAATATCACTGTATTTTCTGATTGATAGTATTCTTAAGAACTTCAGCTAGGAGTCTCAGTGTTATTCGAAAACGGAACAATACTCGTTATTCCAAATAACCTCTGATGAACTGTGTGAAGCAAACAGATATATGTTTGGTAGAATGTTGTGTCCTTCCAGTTCAAAATAGATTCTTTAAAGTGGATGTAATCAGCGTTTGAACGAGACTTATTCTATTTGGTACAAAACCAACTGCTGAGCCGACCGATCAAACCTAGAATTTCATGGTTTGATTTTTTTCAGTTTCTCAACATTTCTGTAAGAACGGAATCAAAGAATATATTTCTATTGTTCAGTAACGTATACACAACAGAAAATATGAGATAGTTTTGATGAATGTTGCGAGGAATTTTCCAAGGAATAAAATGGTTTGATAAAAGTAAAATATGAATGTTAAAAGAAACTAGAAGATTGAAAAAAGTATAAATCAGTTGTAGGAATTGTAAAATGTTCACTGATTAAGACAATATTTAACTTAAATATATGTGTCAAGTTCTTATAAGGAGCATATTGAGGAACTGTTTTGCATTTATTTTTTGTCAGACATACTTAGTTCAGTTTACTTATATTTGTAGATGGAAATGATCAGGTTACTTGTATCCCATGGAGGTGATCTTACTATACCAACGCCAGATGGTAGAACAGCATTCAGTGAGTTTAACAATTGTTTCTATTTATTAGAGACTGATTTTCCTAATACACTAACTAAGCGGATAGATTTTACATTGTGAGAATAAAATAAAGACTCTGAACCTAATCTTATTTACATATATACCAATCAGTAAATAATCAGGAAGTCTGAAGACCAGTTTTCGAGAATCATTTGTGATAACTGGAATGATGACGAAATTTTAAGGCTTGTCATGTCATTGATTCATTAAAACTGTGATAAAATGTCTTTTGGATAAATTGTGAGTGATGTATGTCAGGTAATTCTTTGGAATTAGTTAAGTTAACCAGTTATGCTTTTATTTAATTGCTTTATATAGCTTTTGCTGTTTTTCAGAGGTAACTATTGGGGCTCCGATAGCAGTCTGTTAGCATTAGGCTCACAGTAACATTTTTCAGTAGAAATGAAACATTTTTATAATATAGACCAGTTTTCAAGTCATTTTCTAGAGGATACGGTCACTCATCTCCTTTCAATTTACTGTTTGCGAAATCCTAATCTTATCTGAGTTCAATCAGTTTGATTTTCCGATAAAGGGATATGTTGAACAGTACAAAGACAATAGGCCTGAACATTCAACAGTAGTTATCTTCTAGTTTCTTGAAGGGAACATTACATGACCCACTCTACTGATCACAGTATTTCTCCAAAATGACAATTGTATGTGATAAGCAGTAAGTAAAGACTGTGAAGAAGATAAAGCTTGAAACTACATTGAAGTTTATGGAAACTAATTTCCGAGAACTTCCATTAATATTTCGTTTGTGAAGAATGTGGTCGTTCAAGAAGGCTGTCACAAATACGGAATGGAATACGTTTTCTGTGTCATACAATATTTTAGCTCAGTTCGCGTGATTATTGACGGAGACTACGTAAATACTATATGTATTTAACAGTATGAAGTTAATGCATTTCACACAAAATATACCTACCAACATTCTTCCTTCATCAAGAATACGAGATCCACATAATTTTTTCTTAAAAATGTTTATAATATGCAAAGATCTAGTGAAAAATAAACAAAGGTTTGTGAGATGGTTATCTAAGGGTTGTAATAAAAAGAAAAGGAAATTATCTGTTTGATGAAAAATCTCATAAAAGTACAAGTCAAACTATAATGATGATGTCGTCATTCACTAATAATGGAAAAATAAATTGTGAATGTTATGTTGGGAAATTTCAATAGGAAATCAATACATTCTGTTTAACTCAACGAGTTGAAATAATCACAATAGCACGGCATAATTCTCAATATAATAACTAGAGCTCTGTGAAGTTATAGACTATCTTTAGGTCAAATTCTGACTTGAATTAGTTTGACTAAAGTTAACTAAATAAAATAAACTAAGAAGGTATTTTATACTAATTAATATGAAAGTTATGAAGGTGACACTTGTAATTATTTACGCATTCAACTAGCCCTTGACTTTTCGGTAAATTCAGTAAGATAATAGACTTTAAAAAATATGTCTGCTAATCTGTTCTTAACTATTAGAAAATTAAACTGTGCTGTACAGACGACGAACTTAACTCTGATCATGCTTTGATCGTACAATCCTTCATATATAATCAATCCATTCTGTAAATTTTCTTTTGTAAAACCATTCTGCTGAAAACAAGTTTGTTCGCTGACATGATGATCTTCGGCTCATCATGATGCTGTATTTCTCATTTGACAAATCTGGATATCTATTTCCTCATTACTTTTTTCACCCGTAATTTACATGATGACAAAGCTATCAATTCAGTTCATTTACTACCACCGGTTGGTGAAAGAATTATATTGTTATATAAGTTGTTCAGACCCAAGTGCTCATATTTTAGGTAGTTTTCTTCATTATTTTTCCACCTTTGCTTCTGCTGGAGAGATATAGAATGTACATTTTATAATGAAATTAGTGTTGTGGAGTCATGGAAAATATTGATAACAGTGGAGCTCATTTAAACTGTTACTACTGTTTTCATGGACTTCTTGATCTACTGCTCTTTGTTCCATTTCTGCCAGTGACATGCATTACTTCTTATGTACTTACGCCTGTTACTCCTCGTGGAGGAGCAAAGGCAGTCCACCAGCATTCGCCATCCAACTCTGTCCTGGGCAATCCTTTTCATATCTGCTTCTGTTTCCCGGCGTAATGTGTTCTTTGGCCTTCCTCTTTTCCGCTTCCCTTCGGCATTCCACAACAAGGCTTGCCTCGTGATGCACATTGGTGATTTCCTTATTGTATGTTCTATACACTTCCAACGTCTTTTCTAATTTCCTCGTCAGCTGGAAGCTGGTTTGTCCTTTCCCATAAAACGCTGTTGCTGATAGTATCCGGCCAGTGAATATTGAGTATTTCTCCATCATGTGTGATTGGGTTGGTGTTCTCCGTGTTGTATTTGAGAATCTTGCTTTTTCCTTTGTGTATGTCGAAGCCTATTGATGCAGAGACTGCTGCTACATTTGTTGTCTTCGTTTGTATTTGCTCGTGTGTATGAGATAGGAGGGCTAGGTCATCTGTGAAGTCCGAATCATCTAATTGATTCTGAGATATCCTTTGTATTCAGTGTTTACCCATAGATGTCGAAGTCTTCATAATCCAGTCAATCACCAGAAGAAAGACATGACATGCATTACTACTCTATTACCTATCAAAATGAAAAGCAGTACAATAACTGATATCTTACATTTCCTTATTACGAAATAGACTTCACAAGTGATTTCTTTTTATGGATAAACTACCTTTTGTAAACTTTAAAAATTTAACTGTGTAAATTGGAAATATCAATTAATTTAGATGGCGCTAGGTTTCCTCAACTTCTATTCATGCCACATATCTACCATGGTTTTAAATCAAAAATTTATAAACACGCTATTAAAGAAGAGTGTCATATATTTGGAAGTATATGGCCGTTATTACAATATCTTCTAATTACTCCTCATAGAATTTAACAATCTGTTCTCATTAGTATTCTTTATTGGAACAAAGGACTTCTTAGTCATATCTGATCACTCCGACTTTTGTATATTATATTCTAGCAATATGTGATAATGACGAGACTCATGATGAAGTCTGCACAATTTGGAATATGAGAGAAAAACTTAGATCATGTGCCAAATTAATGGATTCAAATTCTTCCATCAAACCTTTTCGACGAAGAAGAAGGTATCTACTTTTTTACTGAAGTCTTTTAAGTGAACATATTGATAGTCGTACATCTTTATCGATAGGCTGACTGCATCCTAACACTTGAAGGAAACCAAAACTTTAAGTTGAAATAGTTTTTAAGACTTCAGTCAGCTTTTTTGTTAATCGTGTCACTTAAATTAACCACAACACAACTCATTTTATTCCAAAACTTATTAACGTTAAACATAAAAACGAGAAAACTCTTCATTATCAAGGCCGTTGAAGTAACTACAGGCCAAATAGATCCTCATTAAACTCCAAACACATAGTTCCGTTTATCATTTTGAAGAGACCAAGGACAAAGATTTGAACAGAATAATGTGAATTCATCTTATTTCGTTTAGTTCACGTTAGCTGCTTACAACCTGTCATATCTAGTGATCATAATTGCAAAATAGGCTTAACTTACTACCATGAAAGAGTTTATTTGGAAGTTACTTGAAAGACACATCAATATAGTATAGCAGAAGTGTAAATAAACTTAATAGACTGAATAACATATATACAAATGTAAGGAATCTAAAGAAAACAAAACGAGTGTGACTCTATTCACTTAAAAAGGAATTTCTATGAATCTCAACTTCAAAAGTGGTGAGTTCGCAAACATAACCAATAGGAGGCTTAACACTCCATTAGCCAGAAGTTACAAGTATGAAACCTGTGGTTTATTGAATCAATGCATATACATGAATAACCATAAACTTCTCCAGAACAAACCGTTCCGTTGTATATATTGACTTTTGTAGACATCTTAATATTTTTCATTGTCATTAATGATGCAGGCTGATGAATCGCAAATTATTTTTCAGTCTTCTAAAAGTTTTGTTGACCCTGGTTAATCCAAGCTTATATAACTATGGATAATTAAACTGGTCAGTGACCTTAATCACTTTACATCATTTTCTTTAACTTTTATTGATAAACCAATCCTGGGACACTGTTGTACTTTAAAGTAGTACAAAGTGTAGTTGATCATTAAAGATATTCAGATCATAACTAAGAAAATAATTAGATCTTCATATTTTAAGTCGATCAAAAAACAGGGGACATCAGCTTGCACATATCAAAATATTTTCATATCCGTATTTGTCTACAATACAGTGGCTGTGTGAAAATCATGACAGTAAACATCCTTAGACCGACAATGTCATTTTTGACAGTCTTTGCTTTAGATTATATCTAGTCTAAATGATTTAAAGTAGGCCCCATAGTTGTTGGTTTCTTTAGTTTTCCTCTTGGTTAAAAACGATGTATGTTATCGAATGCTCATTTTTAATCCACTTTATTTAAGATATTATGTGTTATATGATGTTTCATAATCAGTCAATAATACTCAGATTGTAATTTTTTAAGTGGATTACCGCATAAAAGCTTCAAAATGGAAGATTTATCAATATATTGATGGTACTTTTTGGAGTTCAGAATCTTAATAAGTTAATTAACAGAGTTACTCAAATGAAATATTCATTAACCTTTTTCTTCAATTTCATTTCTTTGTGATTTATCAGATTCTCTACTAAATTGAAGTTCTTGTGTTTCTTCTTAGTGGATCTTTAATTCATCGGAGCTCACTCAGAGATAAATCAAATTTATCAAGACGTGAAGCAAAAGAAGAAGCTCAGTTCGCTCACTCCTCTTCAATCTGTTTAACTGATGTACCATCTGGTTACGAAAAAGATGACCGAATCCAACATGAAAATCACAACATTATTGCAGGCGATAGAAATGCGTTGCATACTTCTGCCGTTTTCAAAAACAGTAACTTATCTAGTTCACCAAAATCAAGAAAACAAAAGTCACTGACATCTAATCAAATTGATGACAGAAAACGTGACCCACGCTTTCCTATTCTATTAAACTCAGATGATTATGAATACACAACAGAAGAATACACACACTCTATTGATAGTGCTAAGGTAAGTTGTTCAATGGACATTTGTAAATGTTTACTCCATCTATAAGCAAATGCCAAAAGTTAAAGTATCTCTAGTACGTTAAATGTTAGATAATTAAAAGTATAGACTGGAATTCTAGTCATTAATGAATTTGACAAGAAGTCGCTTTTTGGTTTGTGCGGCCTACATTCCAAAACAATTTGTTTTCTCGATCACTTTTGCACTTGTATTTTAAGTTACTTACTTACTTTCGCCTGTTACTCCCAATGGAGCATAGGCCGCCGACCAGCTTTCTCCAACCCTATCTGTCCTGGGCCTTCTTTTCTAGTTCTATCCAGTTCTTGTTCATTCTTCTCATGTCTGTCTCTATTTCTCGGCGTAATGTGTTCTTTGGTCTTCCTCTTCTCCTTTGACCTTCAGGATTCCATGTGAGGGCTTGTCTTGTGACGCAATCGGGTGATTTCCTCAAAGTGTGCCCTATCCACTTCCAGCGCTTCCTCCTGATTTTTTCCTCCGCTGGAATCTGATTTGTTGTCTCCCACAGTAACTTGTTGCCGATAGTGTCTGGCCATCGGATCCGAAGTATCTTGCGTAGACAACTGTTAATAAACACTTGTATCTTCTGGATAATGGCTTTCGTAGTTCTCCACGTCTCCACCCCATACAATAGAACTGTCTTGACATTTGTATTGAAAATTCTAACCTTGGTGTTAGTTGACAATTGTTTTGAGCTCCAGATGTTTTTCAGTTGTAAGTATGCTGCTCTTGCTTTGCCGATCCTCGCCCTCACATCTGCATCTGATCCACCGTGTTCATCAATGATGCTGCCCAGATATGTGAAGGTTTCCACATCCTCCAAAGCTTCTCTGTCAAGTGTAATTTGATTGGTACATATTGTATTGTATCGGAGAGTCTTGCTTTTCCCTTTGTTTATATTGAGACCTACTGCTGCTGAGGCTGCTGCTACATTGGTCGTTTTCTCCTGCATTTGTTGTTGCGTTTGTGATAGAAGAGCCAGATCATCGTCAAGTTGCATCCTGCCTGTCCACTGTATCCCGTGCTTTCCTCCAGTCGTTTACGTCTTCATGATGCAGTCGATCACCAGGAGAAAGAGAAAGGGTGAGAGTAAGCAACCTTGCCTAACACCGGTCTTTACCTCGAATGAGTCGGTGAGTTGTCCTCCGTGGACGATTTGGCAGTTTAGTCAATCATATGAGTTCCGTATAATATTGACTGTCTTCTCAGGCACGCCGTAGTGTCGAAGAAGCCTTCATAGTGTCGTCCTGTCCACGCTATCAAATGCCTTCTCGTAGTCGATGAAGTTGATGTAGAGTGATGAATTCCATTCGATTGATTGTTCCACAATGATACGTAGAGTTGCGATATGATCTGTGCACGATCTATCCTTACAAAATCCACCCTGTTGATCTCGAAGTTGGGCGTCTACGGAATCTTTCATCATGTTTAACAATACTCTGTTGAAAACTTTCCCTGGTATTGAGAGGAGAGTGATGCCCCTGTAGTTGTCGCACTTGCTAAGATCACCTTTCTTTGGTATTTGATCAGAAGTCCTTTTTCCAGTCTGTTGGTACTTGTTCTTCATCCCAAATCTTACTGAAGAGGATGTGGAGTATCTTGGCAGTTGCTACTACATTTGCTTTCAGTGCCTCTGCCGGGATGTTGTCTGGTCCCGCTGCTTTGCCACTCTTGATTTGTCTAATGGCCATGCTGATCTCTTCAATTGTTGGTGGGCCAACATCGATTGGGAGGTCTGTGGGTGCTGCTTCGATGGAGAGTTCTTTGAAGTGTTCTACCCACCTGTTTTGTTGTTCTTCAATGTCGGTGATTACTTTGCCTTCCTTACTTTTCACTGGTCTTTCTGGTTTACGGTAATTTCCAGCAAGTTTCTTTGTTGTATCATACAGTTGTCTCATGTTTCCCTCTCTTGCAGCCTTTTCCGCTGTAGTACTTTCCTAAAGTAGAAATCTAAAATGTGAAAAACTGAATTTAAAGTCTTAAGACATTAAAATTAGTAGTACACATTGTATGTTTAGTTACAGACATACAAACTATTAGTCAGTTAGTATTTAAAGTTTGAGTTTGAAATTATTTGCTTGGAAAATCAAAATAAAAGATGCTGATTGTTTCTTTATACTTTCTAGTACGACTAATAATTAGTGTCTCAACTTCAAAGACGAATTTTGTGCTAAAAATTGACAAATGGTAAATTCTCAGTGCATTCATCATTTTTCAATAAACCCTTCTTCAAAAAAAAATAGTTGTTACGACTACTCTCAATTATAGAACTTCTTATAACAACAACTCATCTGTAAAACTCATTCTGATATTCATAGTCTACAAAATCAACGTCGTCTATACTTAATCGATTCCAGTAGGGTTTTGTTTCACAATTTATCTCAATGAAAAATAGTCTATCAGAATATATCATAGATATCGAGAACAGAAAGCATTTCTTCCAATATTTTTCTTTAAATATATCCAGATACTATACACTTTTTTAATGTAACTATATCTCTTTTGAATTTTAGCCCACAAAACCATACACATGACAAAATGTGTTGTATTTTTTTGTCAAATTACATAATGTGAGTAGTTGCAGCTCGAGTTGCGGTATATTCAAACGTGGTTCAACCAATGTATTTGAGAAGCATTAAGATTCAGAATTCACCAGTCCAATGTCACTTATTGTTAATTAATCTGGTTTACACAGCATAGATTTAGCATACATTATGTTTCACTTTGGTATGTATTGCAATAGTGCTGACGCTTTTCTCGAGTTGAAACGTTACACAAACTTCTGTTCGATTAAACAGATTCTAGGTGACAGTTGTTTTGCGAAAATATAAACAAGTAAGAAGATTACCTAAACCTGTTACATGGAGTATTCCCTATACCATTGAAACCTAAAAATTAGATGATGATGATGATGATTATGATGATGGACATCAATAAGTGACATGACTTATATTCTCTATGTCGGCATGTTCGAAACTGTGTACATTCGCGCGTATTGTTTTATCCGGGTAACTAAAATTTAATTGAATTTGAAGTGTAGATAATCAGCTGCTAACTTCTATTTAATCACACATGATTTTTTCAATGGGGTAACAAGTGCTTTTTATTATCACGCTTCTTCAAAACCCAGCTGGAAACCTTAGAAACAAGATAGCTAGTGAATTTGAAACACTCACAATTGTTGAAGTATTTATTTTGATAAAAAGTGTTTGAATTGTTAGTTATTGATCAGACTGATTGTGTGGGTGTGTGCGTGTGTGCATAAGCAAAACTGTCACAGGATTATCACTCTTAATCAATATTTCACATCTCTAATTCAAATATAGCGTAATTCTCAGACAAAGGAATCGAAAGTTCGGAATGACTTTCCCAATCAACGAGAGATTACAATTTTATCAACTGATTTAAAGAGTAACTATACTAATGGTCAAACAACAACCATGGATAAGCGTAGTCATATTGAATCAATGTGCTCTTCTAATGATTCTAATTCAATCATTCAGGCAAATAGTTTGAAATATCTGACAGACAGAGAAGTGCATATTAATAGTACGAACTATCCATACAAGAACGCTTCCTCTAGGGAACTGTCATTACCGCAATATATTGATCAAGATAGAATAACTGACAATTCTCAGCATTCCTTGATTCGTCAAGAATGTTGTCGAAGATGTACAATACTATAGTTTAATGATTTCCTTCTTTTATTCTTATATGAAACAAATGTAAATGTTTATTTACGTTGCCTTCTTTTTTCTGTAATATTTGTTTTTCCTACGACTCCTTTATAATTCTGTAAGTTTTCGGGGAAATAAGCATTCTTCACATCTATAATTGTATTCTAAATGGATATAAATGTTAGTGAAGAGTCAGGTGAAAATCATTTCAAATTGTATAACAATTCAACTAGTTTTGATTTAATTAATTCCATATCTGACAGATTACATTACATAATTCATCCTACATTCAACTGTAATCACTTGATTATCCTTTGTTTAAAATTTTCCTTAAACAAATTGACAATTTTCTACTAAAACGTTTTTATTACAATGATTAATATTTGAAAAGAAATAACAGTATTTCATTTCCTTATTTTACTAAATCACCGTGAACTAGTTTTCTTGACTGAATTGATCTTGTTGTTTCAAATGCAATTTACTTTTCTTGATCTTATACTTGGATACGGTGATGAATACTTTCATTTACTATTGGATGAAAACCATAGGGAAGAAAAATAAATATGGAAAACTAACTTTTGATTTAAACGTTAAACATAACAAATACGGTTTGAAAAGCTCTGAAACTATCGGACTTGTTCTATTTATTTTCATTACTAAATAATGTGATATAACGATTAGGCTAATGAAGCAAACACAGTTCTATTTTAGAACCATAATGTAATATTTGTTTTTCATTTCTGTAATTTTCCTTGAGCTCCAAATCGTCTTCATCATTATTGTAAGCTGCAGCAGTATAACCATGAACATGGCAAGTTTTTCCATACTTTCACGAAAAAATACATTTGGCATTATTGTTATATGTCATCTGTTTTATATTTCTTTTTTGATCATGCACATTTACATATGCTATTGATTGACGCGGTTCACATTTTTTTCTGAAATCAATAGAGGTAAATTTCATCTTTTGTAAACGGGTAAACATGAAATGTGTTGATTTATATGATAACAAAATATCGTCGATAAAATACAACTTACTAAATTTCAGTTTAATTATCTTTATTCCTATTATTTTTGAAAATGTAATTCGCCAATGACTCCTCAGCATGCATCTTAAATGAGACCACAATAATTGATAAAACAAACCGTTATGATACCTGACCGAAAATCTAATTATCTGGATTCAATTTTATTCCGACTATCATGCACTGAACAACTTTCTATCATTGAATAAGAAATTTTATAAATTTGTTTTTTACTATGAAATGATAATACGTAGTTTCCAGATGGACTGGTGGTTTTCGATGGTGGAATTAGGGAACATTGTGAATGGCGATTTTCATTAAACAAAGGTGTATCTGTTTCATGATGAGGTTCTACTGCATTATATTGTTTAATTACACTGCCTTTTACCAAGACTAAAAAAGTCTTTCAAATCTTGTTGTTGAACAGGAGAACCGATCATTACAGAAAATCACTTGAAATATTTCAAATAAACAGAATATTTTACCTGAATCATCCAGAGTTTTGCGAATACATTTTACAATATTTCCAGAAATATTATAAAGTAGAAAGTAATGCATGAAATAAATATCGAGTTCGAAATGACCTCAGTATAAAACTACAATATAGAGTAAATTCCCCAAGAGTAATATAGATGAAATTACATTGGTGAAGCTTGATAGTATGAATATCAAAAGTCAGTACGAATGTTTTATACGAAAAGTTTGATGATCGAAAAAATGGAAAGTGATTCGGTAGACTGACTTGTCTTCTATTGAACTCTAACAATATCGACATTGACATGATCATAACAGTGCTATCGCTTAAAGGAAACAAAACATAGTCCTTGTTTGTTAGATTTTACGAAATCAAACCGAAAGTATAGATATACAGGTATTCTGTGCGTTTTTTCGATCGCTAAACTCCAGTATTAAGTAGATTTTATCTTCCAAATATCGTGAAGACTTCCTCCAACGAAAAAATCATAAAAATCTTACAAATAATCTCAGTACTAAAATACTGAAATACATATGGACCGGTCAAGATCTATCAAAATTTATAGTTAAATATTGGTTTCTTAAATAATGACGAGAAATTGGGTTGAATAATGAACCAATTACTTTACAGTTAAATATTCAATAATGCGTTTAGACATATCATAATAGTGCAGCACAATTTCATACTACGTAATTAGAATTTCAGTACTTGGTTGTGTCTCATCAAAGTGCCATACTTGTCAATACTATTTCGTTATATTATTTCAAGTTCATATCTGGTGTCGCAACACAAAGAGATCCAAGTGAGTTGGAGAAACTGCCCATCAACGCGTCACCCCGAGAAGTGTTAAAGAGCACAGTTCAACAAATTGGTTCGTGCTTCCAATCAGACTATTACATTTTTCTTGCTACGGCTTCAGACACTAGCTTCTAACAGTGAATTCGATGAACATCTGTGTATCCAACTTCACGACCACCTGATTGCTGGTATGAACAATTCTAAACTAGAGAAGCACCTTGTACAAATCCCTTTGAGAAGATGCAGAAGATTCGTAGCTCAGATAATCGATTTTGGTGGGTTTTTTCTTTTAGGTGGATGGTTTGGTCGTGGAGTTTTCATTGTTTTACTGAGTGACATCATTAACACAAACTTCAAGTAAAATGGAAATGTTCAGATTTCTCTACATATGACTCACAGTTTGTCCTGTAGACCTTGATCTTGATTGGTTATTGTTGACCAATCCCTTCCCGCACTTTTCAGATAATCAAAGACTTCTGATTTACTTATGACGATGTTAATTATAATCCTCGTAATGCCGTTATGAAACTACAGGAAGCCTTATTATCCAATTTGAATAAATTTACCATACTGCAGAAACATTAGACTTCCAACAAGAACAGTTCCGATTCATTCAGACAAGCGATCAACTCGAAAAGCACTTTTAATTCGTCTTCGGGCAGTATATCCTGTATTTCATGTTTTAAGTTCCGTCTTCGCATTTCAGATCAATATCGTTACGAATGTTGCTGTAAGCGTAAAAAGCTTGGCTCCAATTCGTTTACTACTAAAACACTGAATGATGGTGAGTGAAGACCAGTTGATTTGGACACAAAGATGAATTCCTTGTCGCTCACTACCGCCTGCATCAATACTTCACATTTAATGCAAAAATTAATTGAAATCCCAAGCAAGTCCAATTCATTTATTGTTGGTACTGGTAGCATGGAGCCAATTACTCCTAAAAGAGATTTATTGCGTTTTCAATGATGGTGTCTTTAAATAATTAAAATAACTCATAATGTCATTGAATAAGAAAAAGAGAATTCAGCGAAAAAATTTTATTTTCGACGAAATGATTTACTTAAACTGTACATGTATTTTTCATATAACTATATTTACGAATGTACAGCTTAAGTAAATGATTTCGTCAAAAAGAAAGCTTTCTTCGCTGAATTCTCTTTCTTATTCAATGGTGTCTTTTAAAAACCTGCAAGTTGTGCAATTACTGGCATCACTGACGACCAGTTACCCATTATTGGTACAGTTAATATTCCACTGAGGAAAGAGAGTAGTTTTGTCAGTGTTTTTCCACTTGTTAGTGAGTATTGCCCATCCATGCTTGGGTGAACAACCTAAGGTTGCTGAAAGTACTCATTTGTTTGTGTACTAATTATTTTGACTGTATCTTAATCAAAGATCTTGTCTTAAGTGCTTGAAGGCCGTGGGAGGTATGGGAATCCACCTAGTACATTTAGAAGTAAGGCCCATCTTAGACTAATTCAATATGGTTTAAGAGAAGCTGTGAAGACTGAGCTATTTAAATTGGTTAAAAGAATAATAATAATTCCAGTTGAGCCGTCCGTTCTGGGTTGCTCTTATTGTGACTCAATTGAAGACGAATTGAGAAACACCTAGAATTTCTGGTGATTACCGCTTGACACCAAATACTTGGCCGTCGCAACACATTTATACTACTAAAGAAACTGAGAATATTCCAAATAAATTACAAGGGTCACTGTATTTTTTTTAAATGAACCTGAAAGATGCATATTTGAGAATCTGATTGGGTGAAACCTCTGGTGTACTAAATACTAATAATACACCATTCTAGCTATTCAGATACAAATTCATACCGTCTAAATTTAATGTTTCCTTTGAGATATTCCAGAAGATTACAAATCAGAATGTCGCTGGTCTCATTGGTGCTGGATCGTATCAGGATGATATCATAGTTCATGTAGAGAATATTAATTTGTATAAAGAACGTCTTTTAAAGTTAATTTGACGCTTTCGTGACACAAATGTGACTACTGATTCATAGTAGTGTCATTATCAACTAAATTCTATCAACTGCCTGGGCGATACTGTAAATGCTAAGGGTTTTACACCTGATATGAGTTGCCTAGCTCCATAGATTCAAGCACCGTCACCTATGAATATCTCATGACTCAGGTCACAAACTTATGTTGTTCATTTTTATACCTAAATTTACCAAAGTATTATCTCCACTTTCCAACTTCGTTCTAATAGAGAGTCTATATTGAAACAACTACACGATGATATATTAAGAAACCCTTCACGGTTTCTAAATGGCGAGGCTTTTACTAAACCGTTTCCATCAACTGAAAAGTCTATCCTTACTTTAGATGCATCTCCATTAGGGTTAGGTGCGGTTCGAGAGCAGAGTGGGGAAACTGACACTTTTATTTTGAAATGACTCAGCAAGGGTGAACAAAGACATTCTCAGACCCAAAAGGAGGCTTCAGCTATGGTATGGGCAGTAGAAAGGCTTCATAAATACTTGTTTGATGTAAAATTCCATATTATAACTGATCAACAGGCGTTAAAGTTTATTTACCATCCAATTAAGTCACTTTATTGGTCATCCACTGCCATGATCCAAAGATGGAATTTAAGGCTGAGTGCTTTTGATTTCACTATTAAGCACCGAGTGGTCAAAATCATACCACATGCAGATTTTCTGTCACGCTATTCATATTTTGAAAGACCACCTAAAGAAATTGATTGCATGTTGATTCAATTACTACCTGTTGATATGGAAGAACTTGTGAAGGATGCCCGTAAATATTTTTTAACTGTGATAAGTACAGCAAAAAGAGGTTGGAATATTTGGGGCTAGCGTAGGCTTTCTGAGTTCCACAAAAGGAGAGAGGGTATAACATTACATTCTGAGGGAATTTTGTGCTTTAACGATAGTCATCACTTTTCCTATACTCAGATTTGTAGTATTAGACGACCTTCATACGGCCCATTTGGGAGAAGAGAAAATGAAATCACTTGCTCATCAGACTTGTTAATGACCTGGGGTTGATGTTGATATAATTTGAATATCGAAAAGTGTCCAGATTATTTACACAAGCTACCGTATATAGACGTACTTGGAATCCTTAGCCTGGATCTTTATAATTGCGATAACGTACGTATGCCGATTACTGTGATTCATCTTCAACTAATATTGTGCCTTAATCATCACTTGTTCATATTGAGAATGGCTAGAAGTTGTACTCACGAACAGTTTTAGCGGACAATTTAATCAAAAAGTAATGAGAAAGGTATTTATCATTGAGGGAATTCTCAGTTTATTAGTAGAGGATGATGGAACTCATCAGACAGGAAAAGAGTTTAACAACTAGTTTACTGATATTGGATGCTTTCATCTGCTTACAGCCCCATGACATCCTCATTCTAACGGTCTAGCAGAGAGTGCTATCACATCAGTGAATTCAATTAGTCTGGAAGCGCTAGAAAATTTCGTTGATAATTTTTTGTTTAGATATCATAATGCAGAACATAAATAACTCATTACAGTTCGGCCAAACTCTTTTAATCTCTCATACTTTGAACCTATTTAGTGAGCAAAAGATCATCAGAAGTACATTTTTACCAAGGAAATGACTAATGGCTGTCTAAGGAAACTATAATTCAAACAATGAGTAGTCGGATGGTAAGGATTTCTTATTTAAATGACAATGCAGTTCACAGGAGGCATATAGACAAAGTGAAAATGAATGAAGTTGGCGATCCCAAAATTAATTGGGACCATTCTCTAACTAATCCTAATTCTATATATATTTTTGAACTTCAGATAGATAGTTCCAATTTCAATGCTAATGATTCTCCTGTCAATAATGACTATTTAGGTAATTACGAATTTCAGATAGATGAAGAAAATAATAATCAGAATGCTGAACAGTCGAGATCTAAATGAAGTGCAAATAAACCCAGATAATATAATAGATACATAAAGAAACAATCAACGTGTGACGTGTGTGATGAATAACCGATACAATTATCGGACAGTTAAATATTTAATAATGAGCTTATAAATATCATAATAGTGCAGCACAATTTCATACTACGTACATAGAATTTCAGTTTTTGAATATGTCTCGTCAAAGTGCTATTCTTATCGGGTTTAATACTGTTTTGTTAGATCATTTCAAATTATCACTTCCTATTTACTTGCCTTAAAGGATGGTGACTTACATGCCTAAACTTTACACGACACATAGGTAAGAGATATGTACCTTAATATACGCCAATAACAAACTTAATAAGCATGGCAAAATTTAATATACATACGACCGAACAGTGTCGTCATGCGACTTTCAAATTTACCCTGTGTAGCTGTAAATAATTCCCCAAAATCAATAGCTCATCAAGTGTTTGGCATTGGATGCTGACCACATTGTTTTAAGTGGATTTGTTTAACTGAAGGCTATCGGTCATGCATCCGCACCAGATCACGTTACGACCCAGCGTGGGACACAGCTCCTACGTTCACTAGCCAGATTAGAGCAAACGCTTCTCCATATATTGATAACGCATCAAATATATCT